TTTTCCGAAAGATCCCCGTCTAGACTGGCGCTTTTTTCCAGCAAAGCTCCGAGCCGGAAAAAAGCGGCAGCCATGTTTATGCAAATGAAGTGGGGGGATTTAAATCCCAGCTTCATTTGCAATTGCAATGTGTCTAATTTGCATCCCTTTTACGGAAAAGGGATGCAGCCTAGACACAGCCCCCCTGTATTATTATTCCCATGTATCAAGGAAAACCCAGGCAATTCATGGGTATCACTGAAATCCTTTTCTCAACTCAATGACATGCCAGCCTTTACACACTTCGTTGTAGGGGAACTGCAGTGGTCTGAGATAAAAAGATATAGAATCTGATTCTCCTCTCACACTAGTGGAAATCAGGAGTAATTCCAGTGAAGTAAGTTGTTAGGGTCTAGAAATTTAGGAATGCCTTGTAGGGCCTATACTTCAAGAAGAACAAAGGAAACTGGATTCATGCTTGCTGGAAGCTCATCTCAATAAACACTGAATTGTTTGCATCTCCGAACTTCAGGTTTTGTTGTTCTTTGTTCACATGAGAAGGACCAGGGAAGTGAGAGGGTGAAGATATAAGATCTATAACATCTTGGTGCCATGACTCAGATGCATTGCATGGGACAGGAGAGTGGCAGCCTGCAAGGCATCCTTCCCCTGCACTCCGCACAGTTGCTTTGAGAGGGTTATGGCAGACTCTCAAGCCAAGATAAAGGAGCTTTTGGATAAAGGAATATGGAAGATTCAGGGCTCATTCCAGGCATGGAGACCAACCTGGGATGAGATTAAAAAGGAAATGGAGTCAGAGTTAGGGGACCCAGAGGGATAGAGGTGGGCTGGGGAGCCCACCCTCCTTTGTATATGAGTAGCGGAAGAAGATCCATGCCTGGGGGAACAGGATGCCTTCCGGGGAAAGATGACACTCCAGTCTGCTGGTAACAGATTTGAAGTAAAGGCAGCATGGGGAGCTGCTAGTAATCTTTCAAGTTGGATGCTGCTACACTGAGGGCTGCTGATGGATTGTGGTTTGGAATTTGGGGTGCTTAAAGATATTTTGGCACAACAGTATTTGGACTCAAAAGCAGAGTTAACAGATCACCTGAAAAGACAGAAGCTGGGATTTGGTCCTAAAGAAGTGGAGAAAAAAAGTTTCAACGTGACAAATGGCAGGGTTTGCAGGAGAAGGTAATAACCTCCATTCTTTTCCCAGAGCCAGGATAAAAACATGGGGGTGAGGGTTCCCAACTGTTCAACTCAGGGAGCCTTACTCTTGGTGCAGAACCAACCATATCCTTTTCTTCTGCCTCTTCTTATTAGTTTACTTATTTTGTTGCTGTTAGCCTTTACTTTAAACTGACATCACATGGTTAATTCATTGTTTTCCATCACTTCTCCTTACCCCTTCCACACTTTTACTTTTCTAAAGTTTTAATGGAAGGGACTTTGAATACTTATTTAATTTTTTTAACAACGCATGACAAATAGGCTGTGTCTAGACTGCATCCCTTTTCCGTAAAAGGGATGCAAATTAGACATATCACAATTGCAAATGAAGTGGGGATTTAAATCCCCCCGTTTCATTAGCATAAAAATGGCTGCCACTTTTTTCCGGCTCGGAGCTTTGCCGGAAAAAAGTGCCAGTCTAGACGCTGATCTTTCAGAAAATAAAGCCTTTTCCGAAAGATCCCTTATCCCTCATTTTAAGTTACTCATATACTTACTCATTTTAAGAGGGATAAGGGATATTTTGGAAAAGGCTTTATTTTCCGAAAGATCCACGTCTAGACTGGTGCTTTTTTCCGGCAAAGCTCCGAGCCGGAAAAAAGTGGCAGCCATTTTTATGCTAATGAAACGGGGGGATTTAAATCCCCACTTCATTTGCAATTGTGATATGTCTAATTTGCATCCCTTTAACGAAAAAGGGATGCAGTTTAGACACAGCCATAAGGTTTCACATTAAACTGGATTAAGTGAGAGGAGAATCAGGCCTTAGAATACATTTAGTTTGCTGTAAATAGTTACAATTCTCATTGATTTTAACGAGTATTATACTTACTTATACCAGAGCTAAATTTAATTATCAGTGTTAATTTATGAAATGTAGGCCCACGTAGCTCAATTTCATTTGAATGCTCTGAAAGTGTATCCAAGCCTCTGTCACAGATTTAACCTTGCATTGGTGGATCACCTGTGAGAATGAATGTGATATATTGTATATAGCTAAAAGAGCAAAAATCATATAATCGAAAGCCGGATCAAGTTAGTTTGTCTCCATTTGAATTAATCTTGCTACTTGCATAAAAACTCATGAATAAGATGTTTAGAATGTTCCAATATTTTCTAAAACTAATGTTTACAATAATATAAAAGCAGTGCCAATAACTTGCATTAATACTTAAAGTCCTTTCTTTTATATCATTTTGTACTGTTGTTATTATTCATCATGTTTATTATGGTAGTGCGTAAGGACCAACTATGCTTGGTGTTGTACAAACAAACAAAAGGTGCTGATTTCTTCCCCAAAGATCTTACATTCCAAATAGACCAGACAAACACAGAGTAGGAGAAGAGGACAGAACATAAAAACAGAAGCGTCAGGGGTTAGCCGAGTTAGTCTGTACAGGATAATCTTAAAAAACAACAAAAGGTCTGGTAGCACTTTATAGACTAACAAAACATGTAGTAGTTGGTATCAGGGGTCTGCACATCCTAAACTTATAACTCCGGTCATCTAAAGAAGTGGGCTGTGCCCACAAAAGCTCATGATACCGTCTACATGTTTTGTTAGTCTATAAAGTACTACCAGACCTTTTGTTGTTTTTTAAGTTCATAAAAACAGAATGAACACTGTGATGGAAGCAAATACTTGTCAGTTTTATGATTTTGGTTTCTGAAGTTTTTTTGTTTTGTTTTAGGTTTTGGAGAGGGGTTTGGTGAGTTTACTAAAAGGTGATCAGCTAAATGAAAAGGGACAGAAAGGGAGCAAGGGGGACACACCAGGGCAGAAGAAGGTATGGAGTGAAACTGAACTGAAGACATTGTGATGAAGGGGGAAGGTTGGAGCAAGCAGCCAATCAGCACAGGGAAGAGAAAGTCCAATCAAATCTGGAGAAAGTTCTCTGAGGCTATGTCTACACTGCTGGCTTTTGTCGGCAGAGATTATGCAAATGAAGTGCAAGAAGTTTCTAATGAGCGCTTCATTAGTATACTCTCTGCCTGCAAAAGCCAGCAGTGTAGATGACAGCCTGAATGACCATAGGTCATAGCTTTGACAGCTTTTTCTCATACTGCTTGGAAGCTCCAAGTTCCACCACAGTTTTCTCTCTAAATCACACAGCCTGGCCTGAAGTGGGAAGACAAGGCACCACCCAGAATAGGAGAAAGTGTCCTCCAGCACCGTTTTGACTAGCTGGATCTCATTTTAGCCCCTCTATTCCGCTACAGCAGTCCATGCTTTGACTGCAACTGCCTCAGTACTGATATTATATTATCCATTGAACATGCTATGATCATAGGTGTGGAAAATAGGTGAGGGGGTGCTGCAACAGATTTTGTGGCCGGCACCAAAGTTCTAGCCACCAACCTGAACCTGGGATCCCACTGCCACCTGGGGTCCCAGGCACCAAGCTCCAGGGGATCCTGTCTACCAGATCCGCAGGCTCTGCTGTCGGCCCTGAAGTATAGGTCACCGGGGGCTCTGCTGCCACCCATGGTGGCTCAGCTGCAGGCCGCAAGGCCCCAACTGTCAGCCCCATGGCTCTGCAGTCATCTCCAGCTGTGGCCCAAACCTAGGGCAGTGAGGGACACAGATGGGGTAAGGCAATGGAGTGGGGGAGCACTACTAAGCACCCCACTCTGGAAATTATTCCAGCGCCACTGGCTATGATGGGTGAAGTCATGAGTTACAGAGACGAAACCTGCTTCATCATATATATAGTAGCCCAGTGTCTGTGTCTATAACACCGAAATGCTGGCTGTTCCCTCTGGACGGTGCTGTTGCCTGAAATGCTGGCTGTAAGGCAATGGAGTGGGGGAGCACTACTAAGCACCCCACTCTGGAAATTATTCCAGCGCCACTGGCTATGATGGGTGAAGTCATGAGTTACAGAGACGAAACCTGCTTCATCATATATATAGTAGCCCAGTGTCTGTGTCTATAACACCGAAATGCTGGCTGTTCCCTCTGGACGGTGCTGTTGCCTGAAATGCTGGCTGTCCCCTCTGGGCAGCCCGTGCTGCATGGGAAGTGTGGGGCCCAAATGGCCGCTTGCGCCACTTGCTCCCCCGCAGCAGCCCAGCTAAGCGGCGCAGAAGTCAACCAAGTGCCATGGTGGGAGGTGAAGGGGGAGCGGGGCGGGGACGTGCAGCGTGACAGCGGTTCCAGGCCCTGCCCTCTGGCCGTGAACGTCACCACCCCACCCCCTTTCGCCTCCCGCTGTGGCGCTCAGCTGACTTCTGCACTGCTCAGCCAGGCCACCGCATGGGAGCAAGCAGCGCAAGCGACTGTTTGGGCTCCGCACACCCCATGCAGCATGGGGAGCAAGTAGCCCAAACGGCCATTTGGGCTTTGCGGTCCACCGAGTGAGAGGCGGGAGGGGGAGAAGAAGTGAAAGAGAGAGACAGAGAGAGAGGCAGGAGGAGGGGAGAGAGACAGAGAGAGAGGAGAGAGAGAGGCAGGAGGAGGGGAGAGAGAGAGAGAGGGAGACTGGAGGATCAGGAGAGAAGATCGACGTGGAGGAGAGACCTGAAAATCCCGTCTTATGACGGGCTAATTGGCTAGTTATAAATATAGGTCCAACTGTATGTCGCTCTCTGCCTGTGTCTTTTTTCATTTACTTTCACTGTAAATTCTTTGGGGCTGGGACTATCTTTATGTTCTATGTTTGTACACACCTAGCACAATGAGATCTGAGTCTGTGATGAAATGCTACAATAATAAATGAATAAATAATAATCATTGCAATTTCTTTCAGTATAAACAAATCTAACTTCAATAAATGTACAATATTGTGTGGACTCAGTCATACAATTCCCACTGAAGTCAAGGGGGAATCTTTTCACTGACTATGCTGAGGGCTGGAATGGACCTATATGAACAGGCTATAAAATAATTTTCCAGTGTCTAGTTGTTTTAAAATTTTGCTATTCTTGAGGGTTGATTTTCTCCTTAAAAATGCTTTTTTTATAACCTTAGCTCCTAATGACTTTTGTCTGGGAGTTTTATCAAGACTGACCTGGCATCTGTGTCAGGATATAATATAAAAAGTGGGTAGGATATAAATGTTTACATATACATTTAATTTTTAATCATAAACTAGTAGCAAAATGTAACTGATGTTTCAACCATCTTGTCTGGTCCATATATCCTGTAGATGTACAAGTTAGAGCACTTCCTGCTCCTCAAGAAATAAGTTTCCCATATTTCAACTACCTGGGTAGCTTCCCATATAACTGCAAGACCATGGTGGATCCCTATCACTATATAATGTACTGCATATTCCTCTCTCCTCTGCCTTAACAAACCTTATCTAGGTCTGAGCAATAATATGCCATAAAGGCCCAGTAGAGGTCACTGTAAACATACCCACCTTCACTTGGCAGACGCTAGTCTTGAGGATTACTATCAAAACTAGAGGCAGTTTGGGTAACAGCAGTCAAACCACTGAGACAAATGAATCAAGTTATCAGAGAAGCTACTCTGTTTTGGGGAGATCAAAGCATCTGACTTCATATGATTTGTCTTTATGATTAAGTAATGTGATGCTGTGCTCCTAAGGTACTATAGTCTACAAAACCTAAACTGCTGCTTGCTGAAGAGTATGTTTTTCAGGGAATGAAATGGCCGTGAAAGCTTGGCGCTTGCATTCCCATTGATTAAGAAGTGGGTTGGCCCTGGTGTGACCTTCCATCCTTTTGCTGCAGTGCTACCCACATTTTTTTAACTTTGACTACACTAACAAAAACGTATAGCGAGTAAATCTAAACGCTGGTGCATTGTAAAAAGTCTTTCTGTTGGGAGAGTAATTTTTAAAAGTAACTCAGGTTATGTCCACACAGCAGCATTATTTTGGAATAACTGATGTTTTTCTGAAATAACACAGTGCACGTCTACACTACTAGCCTTTATTTCAAAATAATGTCGAGCTGGAGGACTTCTTACTCTGACTCATGGTAACCCTCATTTCATGAGAAGTAAGGGAAGTCAAAGGAAGAATGTTCCTCCTTTGATTTCCTGAGGTGTAGACAGCACCTCGAGTCAAGTTATGCTATTTCGACTTAAGCTATGCAATTGATGTAGCTGAAGTTGAATAGCTTGATTTGACTTTAGCTCTGCTGTGTAGACGTATCCTCAGTGTTTACTGCTGACAACTGCAAGCATTGAATGCATGGAAGGCATTGGAGAGCCCACCGATTTAAAGTTTAATTTCAATTTGGCCCCAATAAAGCATTTGTTGCAGGATTCTTATGATATTTTATTCCTCTGATTGCCACAGTATCAAGGGCAAGAACTGTATCCACCAATCAATCAAACAATAAATAAAATCTTTACTGTTCGTACAGCATAGGCTTCCAGTTAATGAGAAAGGTATGGATTAGTTAAATTACACTTCACTTAGGAAGAAAATGTTTTAACCAAAAAGGGGAAAATGCATGAAAATTTCATGACCCTGAAATTTTCAAAAAAATAATTGTGGAGCTTTATGAATTCTTTCAAAGGGCACAACTGTGTTTTTCCAAGCTTAGCAATGATTCCTATTTCTTTTTATAAGAAAGTCCAGTAATATTGCAGCTGGCCTGAAAAAAATTGGACCATCTGCCCTCTTTCTCCTTTGCCTCTGTCTTTGGATTTTCTCATAACTTTTTTTCTCTCAATGGCTACATTGCTAGAAGAGGAAGACAAGAAAATTTCTCAGACATTATTACTCAGTGTGGTTGCAGGAAAAAAATTCTTCATGGGAAATCCCC